TGTGTTAGAGGGAATCTCTAGAGGGATATACCAGCTTGTGTTTGGGTTTTATGTCTCTAAATTCAAGAAGAGAGAATCTCCCCCCATTGGGTTCTCTTCATTAGTAGAATTGACATTGAAGCTCTCCCTGCACAAAGGATTGTTGCCGCCCTCCCCCGCCGCCCCCCGTCATCGTTGTCTCCACAAGATCTTGTTGTCGGTATTTGGTGCATTTCCTGGTGTCCCACTCTGCTCTCTGCTTCCTGCTTTCAGCCCCAACATCCAGGACCACCATTAGAAATCATGGGGTCTCATTCAGCCTTCGCCGGGGTGTCTTCCAGTCTTTCTCTCTCCGCCGGGGTGTCTCCCATCCGCCAGTCTCTCTCCGCCGGGGGTCTCTCTCAGTCTCTCCGCCGGGGTCTCCGATTATTTTTCATTCAGAATGGCTTTTCCTTACAATCAGATCAGACATCTTCCTTTGGTCAGAACGCGTGTAGAAGAAGCGCGGCGATAGATCCGCCGGTGACTCCGAGACGTGGAGGACGCTGGATGATAAGTTCATAATTGGGGCGGGTCTGCCGTCTCCTTCTGCATTTCCCGGTGTGTGCGCCGGCGTGATTTAGTGCGCCGAGCCCGGTCACGTGACCGCCTCGGACTTCTCCCCTCATATTAAGGTGATTTCAGAGACTTGATTTGTGTACGGAGGAATCAATGATTCGTGAAAGTAAATGACACCGGAGCCATCCGTCTCCCAGCCGCCAGGAAACTGATTTCACTCGCGTAGATTAAACTGACGGCTGCCGTGATGATGAGATGAGATCCGCCGCCATTAATCAGGTGACGGAGATGACGAGCGCTGGGTACATGGCGACAGTTACAGGTCTCACCTGCCAACCCCCCCCCCCAACATGTGACTGGACAATGAAAAGCAGAAGCAGCAGATGGATGAGCTCATCTCTCTGTCACTCTGCTCTCTCCTCCTATCAGTATATGCAGCACATGACCTGATTAGCTCCCTGTGCTGTTTCTCGATCCCCCAGTCAGAGCTCTGCTGTACTGCAAGGGACTGCAAGTCAAATTTGGTTACTTGCACTGTTAATATATAGAAAATGTAATTATCAGTACAAAGATGCATTAATTTCTCTTTTATATCCACCCGGAGTTCAGCTTTAAAACCATTTTTTTTACGGATTAAGGAAAATTTAACATTTCTTGCAGGTTTTAGGGTCGGTCTCATTATCTGGCTGGAGGACGTCCGGCACCATCTAGCTATTTCCTCCCCAGCCTGATTGGCCCCGGTTCTGTCAATCATGGCGGCTCGGCATCACACGTGGGCGTTGCCTAAGGGCGGTCTGCATGCGAATGTGGTCTGCTCACTCCTCCCGACTGACATCCACCCATCAGGGCATTTTGATATTTGCATAACTCCTCCCACTGCTTGCATCAGGGCTGAGGGCTCTTTAGAGTAGTGTGATGCTTTCAGGAAGCTATGTACAGCCCCCCTGTCGGCTCCTCCCACCATCGATGACCTGCCTGCATTTCATAGGGAAGCACAGGGACTCTGTGATGATGCCGTTGGGACTGTTATTATGGATTAGTGGAAGCGATTGATTGAGCAAGGGAGAATCAAGCGGTGTGTACGGTGGCCCTTCAGGCTCATGTCACATGGGCGACTCTTGTCATTGAGCCAGTAGGTGGAGTCCTCTCATCCAGTGACGTAACAATCACTATAGCGACCCAGGCGGCCGCTACGGGGCCCGGGGCACAGTGGGGCCCGGGCCAGATGCCATGCGGGTCGCTATGGGATCCTCTGCTGGCGGCTTTCACTGGCGGCTGAAGATGAACACGCCGCTGTTCAGATCACTGACGGTAATCTGTGCAGCAACGCGTTCCTCTCCACATAGTCAACATTGAGAGCCAGCAGTGGAGGAGGAGGCGGGGTGTCGTAGAGGTCGGTGGCCGCACCTCGGAGAGTCCCCCGGCGGCAGATTGGTCGGTATGGTGTAGCCGCAGCCTCGTCTTTGTTCTCGGCTCCTCTCGGCACAGGAAGGGTTAAGCTCTTTTAAGATAACCCGTCTCATCCGTCCCTCCATTTGCAGTGACAGCCCCAATAATAGGCGCGCTTAACCTTATTTATGGAGCGATCAGGTGGAAATGGACCTTGCTCTCCTCGGCTTTCTGATGGCTCCAATCCAGGAGGGACCAGTAAAGAGCTTCTTGTCAGAGCATTATGTCTACACGAGTGAGATGTATGAGGGTCTGGGCAGAGCCGCGCGCGGCCATGTTCCGCTTCACCACAGAGCGCCCATCAGGACGTATAAAATACGGCCAGATCCAGGTTACTGATACCGGGGCTTCAATCACCACATCCTGATAGTCCCGATGGTTCCTCCTGAGTCCTCCTCATTATGAAGACCACATAGAAATGTCTCCTCTCACCGCGCCGTCCTGTTCAGCGGCCCCGACGCCGCTGCGAGTGCAACAAACTAATGACGGACATTCGTGTTTATTAAAAGAGAACATTCGATGATTCCCGCGGCGGGACGTTTCGCTTGACCCGACCAGAGTTGTCACCTTTCAGAGCCGCGTCAATGTAACTGGAAGTAACTTTCTACCCCATGAGAAATCCACCCGCGTGTGAGGACTTCCTGCCCGATATACAGCTTCCTATTACAAATGAAATGATAGAAATTAGAGGTGCACCGAAATGGAAATTTAAAAACCGAAATAAAAAAAATTGTCAGGCCGAAACCGATACCGAAAATGTTTTTATTTTAATGGTTTCAAATTTTTTAAAATATTTTATTTTTTATAAACTTGATTTTTTTTTGTATATTTTTATTTATTTTTATTAAATATTTTCATTTTTTTACTTTACTTTTAGGGGCTTCGGGGAAATATTGGGGGATCTAAACAGACCCTCTGATATTTCCCTTTTTAAAATAGAACAAGAGATGGAGGACACAGAGTCCTCAGAGAAGCACAGAGTCCTCAATCTCTTTTTCTGCAGCCCCCTGTTATCAATGAACTGGAATCCTCTATGCTGAGTGTTCCTGTTCATTGATATCATGAGGACAGAGTGTGTTTACTATATCCACAATCATGAATGGACAGGAAGTGATGTAGATCACTTCCCATTCATTCATAATTGAGGATATAGTCCACATACCATATTCTCAATTATCTACAAACACTCAGCGATCACCGATCACCTTCTGCTTGTACTCCTCTCTGACACGCTGTCACAGGAGGCTGAGCGAGCGGTGCGGGAGGAGAGCTCAGCCTCAGCCACATTAGAATCCCACCTTTCACATCAAGAGCCCCCATTTCACATCTGGGACCCCGCCTTTCACATTAGAATCTCACCTTTCAGATCAAGAGCCCCCTTCACATCCGGAACCCCGCCTTTCACATCAGGAGCCCCTCTGACACTAGTTGCTCCCCATGTTTCAAATCTGAGTCCTACCATCACATCAGGAGCCACAGCAGCAGCAGCCATACGGCAGAGAGCAGGAGGTGGGCTAGGCCTGGATGGAGGTGAACTTCTGACTTTTTTTCTGACTTGATCCAACCGTCACTGGACTTGGATCATTCGTTTCCATGGTGGTCGGCCCATCTGCACCATGGAGAGGCATGACGCTTTGTGGAAATGTTGAGGCACCCCGACGGAAGCCATAAAACACCCTAGCGTACCCCAGCATCCTGGTTGGGAAAAGCTGCTCTACAGCAGATGGAGTTTACGTTGCTTCTCGAAATAAGGACTCTGAAAGTCAACATTGACATAGCCCTAGGGACTGTATCTGTGTTCACAATATTGACCCATTCACAAATGACTTCACACACAAACCGGCCCCATCACAATCTATTGTAAACTTCTAAACATTTGCATAGCTCAGGGGTGGCCACAATTTTTGTGTTAAGATCCACTTTTCAAATGACGAGCTACATGAGATCTACCGACGAGAAAAATACCTCCCTTGCTCTCTCTCCTTGCTCATCCTCCTGGCTGTCATTCCTCGCTCTTCTGGCTGTCATTCCTCGCTCTCCTGGCTGTCTCTCCTCGCTCTCCTGGCTGTCTCTCCTTCATCCTCCTGGCTGTCTCTCTCCTGGCTGTCTCTCCTGGCTGTCTCTCCTTGCTCGCTCTCCTGGCTGTCTCTCCTCGCTCTCCTGGCTGTCTCTCCTCGCTCTCCTGGCTGTCTCTCCATGCTCTCTCTCATTGCTCTCTCTCCTGGCTGTCTCTCCTTGCTCTCTCTCTCCTGGCTGTCTTGTCTCTCCTCGCTCTCTCTCCTGGCTGTCTCTCCTCGCTCTCTCTCCTGGCTGTCTCTCCTCGCTCTCTCTCCTGGCTGTCTCTCCTCGCTCTCTCTCCTGGCTGTCTCTCCTCGCTCTCTCTCCTGGCTGTCTCTCCGGTCTCTCTCCTGGCTGTCTCTCCGGTCTCTCTCCTGGCTGTCTCTCCTCGCTCTCTCTCCTGGCTGTCTCTCCTCGCTCTCTCTCCTGGCTGTCTCTTCTCGCTCTCTCTCCTGGCTGTCTCTCCTCGCTCTCTCTCCTGGCTGTCTCTCCGCTCTCTCTCCTGGCTCACCTTGCTGCATTTTGCTGTGTAAACTAATATTCTTTGATGTAATACATGGCACTACAACCCCCAGTATCCACCAGAAAGGTGTCGGGGAGCTCAGCTCAGCAGACTCGGGCTAATAGGCAATCATGTGTGCACAGCGAGGGGCCGCCATTCCCCCCCCTTCCTGACCTACCAGCATCAGCTCAGAGCTACGATCACCATCTACCTAATGGGCATCCCTGGCATAGCTCACCCTTTCATTCTCATGTGCTGCATTACAGCTCCATTGAGCCTCTGCTTTCCGGGAAAGGATGGGAAGGTCTCTAGATGAAGTCCCATCATACGATCATGGTCCGTTCACTGAAAACACTTTGCAAACTGCAGATTTATTAAGTTTGTTTAGATTCATTTAGTGACTTGTTTCAATTCACCCAAAAATGACCAATCTCATCCCTCGTCTCCCTTCCAGCCAGTCCCTCGTATTGTAGTCCAGTCTGCGAGTATCGATGACGCGGCCTTCAAACCAAAAACGGTAAGTAGAGGAAACCGGACGAGATACAATGTATATATGTATTGTGGAGGCAAACCAGTCACATGACCGGGACAACCTGCAAATCTGTTCATGATACATCTCTCTCATCTCTCTCTCTCTCATGTCTCTCTCTCTCTCATGTCTCTCTCTCTCTCATGTCTCTCTCTCTCTCATCTCCTCTCATGTATCTCTCTCTATCATCTCATCTCTCTCATCTCATCTCTCTCATCTCTCTCTCTCATCTCTCTCTCTCATCTCTCTCTCTCTCTCATCTCTCTCTCATGTCTGTCTCTCTCTATCATCTCTCTCTATCATCTCTATCTCTCATATCTCTCTCTCATGTCTCTCTCTATCATTTCTCTCTCTCTCTCTCTCTCTCTCTCTCTATCATTTCTCTCTCTATCATTTTTTTCTCTCTCTCTCTCTCTCTCTCTCTC